CAGCACCACTACGACGACGACGACGACGACTACTACTACTACTGCTACTACTACTACTACCACCTACTACTCCTCCTCCTCCTCCTCCTGCTGCTTGCTGCTGCTGCTGCTGCTGCTGCTGCTACAACTGATATGGCTCTTGGTACTACTGATACTTGTTGTTTGCCATCATCAGTACTTTTTATTGTTATCATGATTGGCCAGTGTGATCATAGTTGTTTGTGTTGTTCTTAGTCTAAACACTGGTCATTTCGTTTCTTGCTTCAGCACATCGGCCCAAGCCTTTTTGTCAATGAGTCGGAACGCAGCGTTGCACGGCCATGCAAGGAGTTGTGTTTGGCGTCCCGTGACGTGGCACGTGCAGTTCAGGCCCAGTTTTGGCTTTTTTTCATGGCGCATGCTGCTTCTGACGCGATTCGCTCCGGGTGGAACTTGAGCTCTAGGCATGTGGGATTCCTCCTGTTCTTGGGGGTGGCCACATCTGGACCTGCCCTTGGTCGCCTGTCCATTGACGATGGCCACCTTGTCATTACCACCCCGGTCGCGAAGCTGCTAGATGGTGACCAGCCGCTCTTGGACATTCCGCTGAGTTCGAACGTCTTGATTGATGTTGGGACTCACAGAGAGTCAACCTTTCTACAACGGCTGAGAAGTGATCCCACGGCATGGGTTATCGCATTCGAGCCGGACTACCTGCACTATGCACACCATCTTGTAAATCATGCACACCCGCACCTGATCTTGATCAATGCGGCGGTGGGCAACAGCTCCAGAGGCCTTGGCATATGCTCGGTAGGAAAAGGCCCATCGATCGTAGTTTCCTAGAGGATTCTCGTCCTTAAACCCCTAACTCCTAACTATTCAACGCCGTGAACCTCGAAGCCACACCCCTAAGCCCTGAAGCCTGAAGCCCTAAGCCATGCACCACAGAAAGGAATCCCTGATCTGATGCCCAGGCTGGTCAACCCTATATCGCTGGGCCTATGCGGGGGAGGAGTGGCGATTCAACAGTGGTGCAAAGACGCAGATGGGTGCCTCACTTGCGCAGTATACATCCCAATCGAATCTTGCGGGGTTCAGGTCCGCAGTCGGAAAAGAGGGTATACATCTCTGATATTCTAATTTATAGTACAGTATATAAGTATAGTAGTTTAGTGACTTGAGCATTATTATGGGCTTTAGTAGCACAAGTATTGTCATGGTAGTCACTACCTTCTCTTCACAATTTGCTTTTACCGAAGTAAGGTTCCTTGCTGCAAGCTGATCCAAGCAAACATCTCGCTGCCCATGAGACGATGCAAGTGGCTGTGGTGTCCCTCAGAGACATCCTGGCCGTTTTGCCGGATCGAGTGCAGATCTTGAAAATTGATGTCCAGGGTGCGGATCTTGAAGTTGTAAAGTCTGCTGGCACAGAGCTCAGGCGGGTAGATCGGATTGTGATGGAGATTCCGAATGACACACCTCGTCCAGTATATTCCGGCCAGCATACGCGCAAGGAAACCGAGGAATACTTGGAACACCTCGGGTTCCGCCATGAGAGGTGCTGGGCGATTTCCCGGGCAGAGCATGACTGCGTCTATGCTCGCTCTGAGGCATGGATAGAGCTGCCATCGCAGGCTGAATGCTTCCCAAGCAATCGGACTCGTAGGCTGTTCGACCGCTGGCGTGCGATAATTGACTACATATGTTCCGCGAAGCAGTACCCCTGCGAGAGCGACACTGAACCTGAGGTGAAAATGTTGTGGATAGAAACACTCTGCTGTGGCAAGCTGGTGCCTGAATACACCTGCTTCGGCCGGAAGCGTCGCCCTTCCTACGAGACATGCTGCCTGGCCCCGTACCTGACTTCCATCGGGTATCCAAAGCCTGGCATCATCGCCGGCACTAGTCCTTCATAGTAGGGATGCTTTCAGCTCAAGAAATGCGCTGCCTTGGTGCCCACTCGGGTCTGGGCAGTTTGGGCCAAATAGGATTCCCCAAGGAGGAAACCAGCCCAATCCAGTCTTTGACGCCTCGTGGATCGGTGCCCAAGCTGAAAGCGACAGGAAGCGCAGCTGCGGAGGAATGGCGGCGAACAGTTTTCGTAGTTTTGGAAGTTGTCAGAGCCTGTTGATGCCTCCCATCGGGCCATGTGCGTACAAAGAGAGGGCCGGATCGATTGGAGCAGGGATCTTGCCTTTGAGGTTATATCATAATCATAATAGCTATAAGTCCTTCAGGTTACGGGTAGTGGAACCACATACCTCAGTCTTCCATCGTCTACAATACAACCTAATCCTTGAAGCAGTCAAGTCCAGTGGGACGAGACGCGCAGACCGAGGTTCCTAGACGTTCCTCGTACTCCGAAACCCTGTCGAAATAACGGCAGCGAAGACCGGCCAAGGTCGGCCCAAATTAAGGGTTTCCGGTTGAATCGAAGCGCAGAGGGCATATCCACTCCCTCCAGTCTCCATTCTTCCTTTTTGGGGTTACCTTGTAGGATCCGAAATATACGATTCTCCAACCCCAAAAAACACTGCAACAGAAACTACAGGTCGGGTTCTAGGGCAGTCCCATACTGTCTTCCTCCCAGGCTGTGAGGCCCCAAACGCCCCCCAAAAAAAGGAGCCATGAGGGGTCAGTGGTACTCGTCCAGGATTCTCTTCCCGAAGCCTCGTCACGTCATAGTATATCCCGGACCCTTAAACCTTATACCCTAAACCCTATCCCCCAGAGCACCCTAAACCCTATACCCTAAACCCTAAATACCCTAAACCCTAAACCAAAACCCTATACCCTAAACCCTATCCCCAAGAGCACTTTTCTAATTATTGAGGCCCTACTTGAACCCCCAGCAGCGGCCCTTTTGTTGAGAAGTAACAAGCCTATGAACCCTAAATTGGCGTTTAGGGTTTAGGGGTTTAGCGGTCTAGGGTTTAGGGGTTTAGTAAACCCTAAAGTTACCTGTAGTCTCCATTGTAGTTCGTTTGTTGGTTTACCCAATCTTGCCCATTTTAGTTCCTTTTTTTTGACCAATGTTGTATTTCGGATCCAAGAAGGTGGCCCCACAAAAACTACAACGGAGACAAAAGGTACCCTAAACCCTATAACCCTAAAAGCCCTAAAACCCTAAAACCCTAAACCCTAAAAACCCCTAAAGCCCTGAACCCTAATAACCCTAAAACCCTAAACCCAAAACCCTATAGCCCTAAAAAACCCTAAACCCCTATAACCCTAAACCGTAGTCTTCAGGTGGCAGGCCCACGGTTCCGCCCCCGTCGGCGCCTGCAGCGCAGACCACGCGAAATCGACCGCTCCGGACCTGGCATTTGCTGGGGCTACGGTTTACTGGGACCCTGAGGGTTTAGGGTTTATAGGGTTCAGGGTTATAGGGTTTGGGGTTGAGGGTTATAGGGCTTAGGGAACTTAAACCTGCATTTTTGTTCTTAAAGGGTTTGGTGTGAGGAAATCAGAGTATAAGTCAGTATAAGTAGCACTAAAAAGGCAGGCTCTTGAGGGTCCAGTTGGAGCTTAAGGTCTTAGACCCTACGCTTCAGGGATGCGGAGGGTATGTGAAACTTCGTTTAGGTTTGGCTTAGGATACGGGATTCGTTGATTACGAGCTGGGCTGGGATGACGGGGGAGTTCAACTCCTTGCGCAAGAGCTGCGTTCTGGGCCACCAAAAACCCATAGGCTCCTAAGTGTTTCCTTTTTGTGGTTTAAATTTAGACTCCTATAAGGTAATCCCAAAAGGAACTACTAAGGAGCAAACGGGTAGTGTAGGCCATTCAGCAGCATGGCCTTGACCTTCGACTGCCTTCGACTTCAGTGTTTGCCCGGACATGTTTGGGAAGTGCTCGGAGGCTAAACCCGAACTCCTGTGCCGCAAACCCTGCAAAAAAAAGCGATGCCCTAAATATCCCGAGCGCTAGACCCTAAACAGTCCTAAGGCTTGAACCCTAGGCTTGAACCCTGTACCCTTAACATTATCCCAAAGCCTGAAACCCAAATATCCCTAAACCCTAAGCTCTAAACCCGATTCCCTTTGTGCCCTGCACCCCGTTAAACCCTTTAAAAGGCTATCTGCCGAGCGAGGCCTCCACAAGACTACGTGGTCCAGCAGGGCTTGTACCGGCGGCCCCATCACTCCTTGCACCTCGGCTCTGGGGTTTGAGTAGTTACCGTGTAGGCTTGGGGGCAACAAAACTATTTATACAAGAGTTTGGGTGTCGGGTGTGTGTGTATACATATATATCTATATGTATATATATATACATATATATTTTTTTTGTTATGTATATATAGGTATACACACATAAAAATTATCCAAGTTTCGGGGTGTCGTATATCTATATCAAGGAATCCTACAAGGAAGAGGTTATTGGTGATGTTCAGGCCCGTTTGGTGACTTTGGACTTCAAGGCTTTGGAGGTGTAGGAGCCTACCAGGTCTTGGTCCTGCGGGCTTGAGTCGAGGCATTGGCGGTTTTCAGCTCAGGTTTGGCATTTGGGATTCGGGCTTCACCCCAACTTTGCAGGCTGGACCACCGAGCTTGGGCTGTTACCTTCTTACCCTTTAAGGCTCAGCAAATTTCAGTTCAACTAGTGATTAATGTAGGGATCTTAATAATTTGAATGGGGTTTTGGGGGTTCCCTATTATAGTTATAGTATAATATACCCCAAACCCTATTCTAATTATTAAGGCCCCTATATTAGGTTAACCCTGAGCCTCCAAAGCCGGGGGTGACCGGGAGTCCGGCAGCCCCGGGTCGCCGAAGTCCTCGCAACCACTGCAAAGCCCAAGCTCTGCAGGACTGCTGGCACAAGGGACTCCAAAAACTGAGCCCAAGGACCTCAAAGTGCAAAGTCTCAACCCCGAACAGGCCGGAAACCAATTCATTGGGCCCCAAAACCGAAGCCCCCCAGCGCCCTTAGCCTGGAACGACGCTGAACCCTCACGAGGCCCCCGTCCGGCGGCCAGCCCCAGGCAGAGTCTTATCATGTTAACATACCATGTGCTGCAGGGCAGGTTGTGATGAAGGTCCGAGGATTCAGTTCTGAAGACATCAAAACGCTCCTTTCTCTGTCCGACTGGAATATGTAGCAAGCTTACGGTATCAAAGAGCACAGCTGCATCAATCACGTGGTTGCTTTTTGGGGCAGGTGGTCACGGCTGGACGGCAGCTGGCGGCTTACTCCGGCACCGACAGTGTTGCTTTGGACAGTGTTTTGTCATCCAATACATCAAAATAAAGTATACTATAGTATACTATAGTATACTGCACTGTAGTACAATCAAGCACTATACTACAATGATCTCAACACTGAGGTCCCTCCAGCCACAGCCGCCCAGACCTCAGCCGCAGCCGCAGTTTCAGCAACCGCTGCAGCAGCGGCCAAAGCCGCAGCCGGCGAGCGCGCGTCCGAGCACCGGCGCTTTTGCTGAGCCCTTTGGCCTTAAAAGCTGTCTCGATAAGGTTTAAGGTTCAGGGCTTAGGGTTTTAGGGTTTTTAGTGCAGAGGTTAGGGTTTAGGGTTATAGGGTTTAGGGTTGAGGGTTTTAGGGTTGAGGGTTTATTCCGCGGCGCGTCAATCTGACCTTCAGGTTAAGCAGAGGAAAGGTGATCAAGGAGATTCTTCGCTGCTAAGTTTAGAACAACATGTCCTTGGGTTTCCTTGCGGTTTGCCAGAGCCGAGGGTCATGAGGGCTGAGCCATAGGGTGTGCCTCCGAGCCGCTTCACATGATGACTCTGTGTGTCCGAGTCTCGGGCTCTTTCTGTGTTATTTGTGTCGGACGAGGCGGGAGCTTTGCGATGTATCGGGTTATACCCAGCTCCTTTGTCCCTTCTTCGGCCTGAGTTTAGACATGCAAACAGCTGCCACGTCGGGCCAGTTTTTTGTCAGACTCACCCCTTGAAACAAGCTGAGGTTAAGAGCTGCAGAGTTCAACATAAGATGTGTAAGTTGCATGCACGGCTGTATTTTCGACCAAGCAAGACCAACAATCCGGGGAAGTCCATGAAGACGAAGGGGCACTTACAATCAGGCTCGGCACCGTTCAGAGTAGGTGGTCCCCCTTACTTTATCCCTGAAGCACAACCCTAGGACCGCAACATCTCCACATCACCCAGGCCTTTGGCCAATCTCCCCGTCCACTACAACTTCGGGGGCTCTTCGGCCTCCGTGTTGGACTCATTTTATGGCTCAGCCATTCAAGGCAGTATTCGGTGCACGGTGTCTTGAGGGCGCCTCGCATCGCATGTCTTGTCTTCGCCAAACCTGCTGGTTTTCCAGGGCTTGTGTCTATGGTGTCCAATGTGTGTGTGTGTGTGTATGTGTATATATATATACACACACGATACAGTATATATAGTGTGTATATATATATATACACACACACTATATAGTATATATTGTATGTAATGCAGTCGGGCTTCTGCGAGGCCCAGAAGCGGACTCGGCGGCGCGACCATGCAGAGTTCAGTGCAGAGCTCGGGCAGGAATGATACTTTTGAAGGCTGGGTTTTGTCGTATGTTAAGATGGAGACATCATCGCCACTAGCATGGCCACGGTCATGTTGATGAGGACGAAGAAGACGATGATGGAAACGATGACCTACCAACTGTCGATGATGCTGTAGTGGATCACGTTACGAAATGATGGTGATGACGATGGTGATTGATGATGGTGGTGATGGTTATGATGATGATAGGGATGGTGATGGTGGTGATGATGATGATGTCATGATGATGAGGATGAGGATGAGGATGATGATGATGATGATGATGATGATGATGATGCTGATGCTGATGCTGATGCTGATGATCGTGATCGTGATCGTGATCGTGATTGTGATGATGATGGTGATGGTGATGCTGATGCTGATGCTGGTGCTGGTGCTGACGGTGATGATGATGGTGATGGTGCAGATGTTGACGACGACGATGATGATGTCGTTGTCGATGGTGGCGATGATAGTGTGCGGGGGGGGGGGGGGGGGATGTTACCTGTTCACAGTGGTGATTGTTTTTTGCGGCGAGAATGGTGTGGGCGATTGTACTCGCCACTCACCAGTGGTGATAATGATGATGATGGTATCCTTGGTGATACTAGTGGCTAGTGGTGACTGTGATGAGTATGGCACTTGGAATGACCTGAAGTGACCTCTCACCGTTTCTCAATTCTTTCGGTATCAGGCTGCTTGCCCACTACCACCTCCGGTTCAGGATTGACTGGCGTCAGTTCCCGCTTCTGGCAGAAAAAGCATGGTCTGGAACTGTAGAAGTGCGGTTGTCGAGGTGATGACGATGAGCTGGCACCAAGCAGATCCTTCAACCAGATGAAGCTTCTCCGGCCGAGTTGTGATTTCAGTATCATAGGTGAGCGGAAGGTTCTGCGCAGACACGCAACATGTCCGTGAACCTACAGCTCATGAACTTCGGTCACGGCGTCGTGACATTTTCGGGATCTCCAAGTGTTGAGCCCAACACTATGCTTCAATGAATGTGAAGCTCCATGTCCAGCTGCCCAGGGTCCAGGCAAAAGTGTTGCACCTCGAAGGGTGTGATTGTGCGCTTGATTATATTGCATCAGGCTGTCACTGCTGGTCCGGTGTATCTGCTTCATCCACCAGGACTTCTGCACTCTGAAGCCCCCCGCAGCTCTGAAGTCGAGAGCTCTGGAGCTGAGCTGGGGCTTTCGGCCTGAAGCGAAAGAGAGCAACAAAAGAACGAGAAGCAGAGATGTGCCGATGTCTTCAGCTTCCAAGGGCCCGTGGACCAGTTAGCCCTGAAGGTCCAAGGTGTGAGCACCCACAGCCCCAGAAGCTCTCCGAGCACCAACCCCTGTACGACCCAAGCCTGCTACAAGCCAAGCCCTGCCGGGGGCCTGTAGTAGCGGTGGCTTCTGACGCTATTCCCCCCGGCAAGCTCCCAGCAGCCGCCAGGAGATCCTTCGCAGGGACAAGGAAGAGCTCTGTGAGGAAGCACAGGGCCTCCGCGACCTCTACAACGAGGAGACAAGCATCCCTACATGTTTCAGGTTGAAACATGAGCCTCTTTGTTGCCTTTACAACTTGAGCTTGCACGGTGTTTCTGCATTGCAGTTGGGTTGCGGGCTTAGGGCGGCTTAGTTCGGCAGGGAGTTCATGACTTGGATGGAATTTTGGGGGGGTGAAGGAGATTGAATCGGTCGGCGTGTTGACCTTGCGACGGCATGACTCGTCGGGACGAGTAGTTGAACCCTAAAAGTCTCGACCTCACCCTACAGTACGCTCAGAACCCTAAACCCTGGCTCAGATCCTCCTTTCCCAACAGGAGCGGTATCACTTGTCCAACTGCCACACAGACCTGCGTGATGGCCTCGAGGGGAGCTATGGGGAAGGTCCCGGAAGTTGATAAGTTCGAGCCCCCAAAGTGGGTGCAGGGTTGAGGGCTGACAAACTGAGACCTGTGAACCAGAGCACTAAGCCGTAGGTTCGAACTTTGATCCCAGAAGCCTGCGTTGAAATGGGTTTGCGATTTCCTGGAGTGTACCACTGCAGTCGTAGAAGCCCCCGCCGCAACCTTTGTAGCAACACGTAAAGTAAGCCTTAAAGCAACTCTGAAGGTTTAAGGCTGTTAGAAAAGAAGGTGTGCTTCGCAGGTTAGCAGGTCCACGAACACACGGGCGGCTACTGCGACTGGCCTACCGGTTGCTACCAACCTCGAATAATGTAGCGGCCTTCATATGACTTGTAAGGGAATTTGGGGGACTTTTCGCTGGTCAAGATGTAGGAACGACAAGGGTATACTATCAGTGTTGATCCAGATTGTTCCATATTTCGCAGGCAGTACCCAGCCCGAAGGTGGCGTTACTCTCAACAAGACCCCAACACGAACCCTAAACCCCAAACCCAAAGAGTCCGAACTAAAAAAGGACTCCGAATCTTGAAGCGAACAGCTAGACACAAAGAGCCCACCACCCAGGAGGGTGGCGAAAATCTCTGGGCGACACCAATCCCCTGGAGGCGGCGCTTCTGGACTTGTGCCACCCCAAAGGTCCATCATGGTCCATCTAAGCCCAAAGCTGCAGGAAGCGGAGTGTGTCTCAATAGCCAAAGGCCCTTCAAGCCCTTGTCGAACTATTCTGGTCCCCTGTATCAGAGGCTCTGATTGATGGGACCCAAACCAGAGACTCCAACAAAAAGTGCAAGTATCACACATATATACACATACACACAAGCATATTTATGTATATATGTCTCGTAAGATGTACACTCATGTATTCATGTATTTTTTTTTATCTGTATGTGTACTTACTTATTGAGAAGCTTCGCCGCTCAGATCGCAGCTTTCATCCTTGGCCTCTTCGAGAATGGCTTCTTCGAGGTGGGTTCCTTATCTGCGGCCGGCTCCTTGCAATAAACATGCCTCAGCCGTTGAGACCCAATTCAACCGAACCCTCAGCAGGCATTGCAGACTCCCACATCCACAGACGAGCAAGAGGACCGCAAACTGCAAGACGAACCTCCAACTCCCTGGACCCTAAACCCAATACCTAAAATTGTCGAAATCCAAAATCCTTCGACCCCATAGGTCCAGCAAGCAAGCGGATCTCCACAAGTCTACCGGGTGCAAGACAAGACGAAGACCCACTGAAATTACAGAAGGAAAGGTGCTAGAATACAGAATGGACGAAAACAGTCATCATAAAGGACTCCTCAAACCTTGAAATATTGAAGATCCTGAAATCCAGCCCAGCCCTCGAGTCGATTTTGACGCGCGAAAGGTCTCGGAGTTGATATGTTGCCAGCGCCTCAGGATGCTTGGGCTAGGGATAACGCAGCTTCTTGCTAATGGAGGTACGACTACTAACTACCATTAACAAAGCTAATAACTACGATTAACAAAGCTGTCTTTAAATAAATAAGGTAAATAAATAAATCTATATATATATATGCATATATATATATACATATGTATACACATATACATGGCATAACAGAGTGTACATAATGAGCTCGAGCTTTTGTCTTGCCCCAGCACCCAACGAGGCGCAAAGCCATCTCCTTGCAACCCAGAGCCATCGACCCCACCCGTCGACAAAAGCCATCCTCAACCCCTCACCCCTAAGGGCTACAGGCTTTTCTTCCCAACCCGTAACATCCCATAGGCCCCAGATCATGGGGCCATGGGGCTCTCCTTGCTCCTGGCAGCGTCCTGCGTGCAAGGCCTCATTTTCCTGCGCCGCTTCCGAGAGAAGACCGGGCTTAGTCTGGATGCGCTCTGCTGGAGGCAAGTTACCAGCACCGTCATCATGATGTCGTATCGCGGGCAGTATTCGTTGAATATTAGTCCATTACTGATAAACATAAATATTGCTAGTGATTGTTGTCTTCATCAGGATCAGCGTCCCTTAGCCCTGAAGTCTCGCTGAGAAAGAGACCCGCTCGTGCAAGGCCTCTCTTTGTGGCAGCTCTTCTGGTCACGGCCGCCTCCGCTATGATTTTCCGTGGCCTCTTGAGTTCCAGTTGAGCTAGGCTTCATTTCCATGCTTGAGACACCACAAGATGCAAGGATTGCTGACGTCAGCACACACACACACACACACGCATTCCGAACCCTGCACCTCCGTCCAGGCCAACCGCTTCTGGCTATAGCAGAGGTGACAGGAACGGCTTCAACTCCGAGCCACACACGCAAGCCCAAAGCGCCCGAGCCCCCAAATCGCAGAACACTATACCCTGTTCTTTGGCCGCCAAGAGTTGAATGCGTCCTAACCCATTCCGAGACAACCGACCCCACACCGAGACCAGGAACCCCTAAGATCCCCTTGAGATAGTCCCCAATATGCTTTTACCCAAACATCCCCAAACAAACACCAACAATCCTACTCTAATGAACTCGTCTTCTCAGAGGGCAGTCCCTAACCTCGCTACTTATTCGCCAGGACAAGTACCTCATCGACAGCTCGGTGAAGGGCAGCTCCATGGCTGAGCAGTCCATGCCTATGCCTCGGCCGGGTGCGGAGCCGGGGGGGAGGAGTTTGGGTTCTGGTTTAAGGTTACATGTAAGGTGTATTCTTAAGGCTTAAGGGTTTTCGTCGCCACGTTTGTGCTGCTGATGCCGATGGTGACGATGATGATGATGATGATAATAATAATAATGGCGATCGTCCCCGGTCGTGATTTCAGAGACTGTCA